TGCTAACTACAGTTCAATAAAGCATGGAGCATTAATCACCTTTCAAAGCCGCATCTCCCTGCCGAGAGCTTGCAGCCTTTCTTGACAAGAGCGCTGCTCTGACAACATTTCCTCTTGTTAAAAGCCCCACCAGTTTTCCTGCCTGGTCTACGACAGGGAGCCTGCGGAACTTGCTTTCAAGCAACAACCTGTGCAAGGCAACAGGGCCACAGGTTAGAGGATTGTCAGCGTAGAATCTCTAGCTGCAGCAAGTAAAGAGCAGTCAACTATAAGGCGTTGAACTTTTGAGTCGCTGTACCAATTCATAAACAACGACAGACAAGAAAGGCAACTTTGAACTTCATAGATGCAGAGCTAGCGGCATGTATGAACCTCGATATGTCAAAATTGCAGGCAGAGGCACTATGAAGGAGATTCCTGCCCTTCAAAGGAGACATGCTACATATTTGCCTTTCCCCCCCCCACCCCATAATGTGCAGATGCACTTCCCGCTGCTGCGCTCACCTGGCCGCGTCTTCGAGGTTGGTCATGGGCCGCACCGCAAGGGGGTTGGGCGTCATCACGTCCCCCACCGTCTTGCCGTGCGTCTTGTTCAGCAGCTTTTGAATCTCCTTAAACGCCTGCGCACGCGACGGCCGTGAGAACGGGCTGTCGTGCAGAACCACCAAGCAGCCCGGCCGAGGCAGCACGGCCCATGCATGAGCGCGAGCCAAGGGCAGGCCACTCATAGCAATCCTGAGGCCTGCGTCCTACTTGCTCAGTTCCATGTCCTGATTGTGCGTGAAAGCTCCCACAGACTAGCCAGCTCGGCTGTTTGATTACATCGAGTGGCAGCCTGTGGCTGGATGCTGACCTTCCAGGTACTCTTGGTGGAGGGGAAGAGGCCGGTCTCCTGCTGGGGGGGACCTGAGATGGAGTCCAGCGCCAGCAGGTCGTAGTCCGACACCACGCCAATCAGCTTGCCCGCGTCATCCACCACGGGCATGCCTGCACAAGGGGCGGGGGGGGAGCACATGAGCCACTTGGCTCTGAAAGGGCAGATACCCAAACGCAGTGGGGGCGCTTTTCAAAGAGGTACACAGACCTTGGCCACCACTTTATCAAGGTCACCACTGCAACTGAGAAGCGACCAGCGCCAGGGATAGACTGAAAACAGGGATAGAGTGATACCTGTGATACGGTTGTCCACCAGAAACTCCAGCGCTGCGAGCAACCAGAGGCGGGCAATTGGTCAGCGGGAGGTGGGGCAAGATGCTAAAACCAATAGCTGACAACTTGGCTGGTAGAGGAACACTGGTGCAACTAGTAGAGAAACAGTGGTGGGATCGCACCAGGAGACATGGCAACATCAACACAAGGACAACATGCAGCACAGCAAAGAGCGAGCCGTGTAGCGTTCAAGGCACAAAAGTAAACTGTGGCCCTGGCCTAACCAAGACAGAGTGTCTACATTGCAATGCTGCTCACCTTCATCAACAGTGGTGTCCACCGTAGCACAAATGAGCGCACCCCGCGTCATGGCATCCCCCACACTGTGGAACGCACGGGGCTGCACAGTCCACCAACACATCAACATCTGATGTCCAATTCTCAATGTTCGTTTTTCACCTAGCTTCACAATTTTCTGAAACCCTAATACCTATAACCAGCTCTGCCGGAAGCAGTCAGCGACCACCATGATGATCAGGTTCTGAGGAAATGCCCTCATCCAGGCCCCTTCTGGCAGGCCTCATCAGCCCCCAACTTCTGGAACCAGCGAAGCACCAAATGTCCAATAGAAAACCAGATGACAGAAGAAAGGACGAGGTTGTGGCACCAACAATTGGGTTCGAGCCACAGGTCTGGAGGTGCAAACTTATGTCTACAGTGGCTGCCAAAGACTTGTATCGTCTTCCACTATACGGAGGTGTAAAGGTATCTGCACCATTACCAACAAATCCATGTTTGGTCCCTTCCCTCTGACTGTCTGAGATTCTTCAAGAAGCAATCTCTCGGCAAGAGATTTCCCATGACAATTGGTGACAGTGCAACATATTTCCAAACCCTACAAATTCCCAGTGAACTAGCTCGTTGACATACAACTCAGACACATAAGACTACTATACAGCACACGAAGAGAGCAAAACAAGAAACTAACACTGGTAGTGCAAGAGGATCTAACTCTTACCTGCTCTTCAGGCTCCACCTCTGGTTCTGTTGGAGAAGGCGCCGGGGCAGGGGCAGCAGCAGTAGCCATGCTTATTCCCACATGCCTTCTCCGTTTTCCAAACAAACTGCAAGGAACGCCGCATCCTTCATGATGCACCTCTCGAAGCATTGCTGACTGGCCACTTGAGGAGCCCCATCCATGTCTAGCAATGTTTTCTAGGGGCACTGATGCCCTCTGGTAGATGCTTGGATCCTGCGGGCCTGAGCGACGCTGGGATCGGGCGCTACATACCGCGTCACTCAAGGACAACCGAGAGAGCCCACCCTGGAGCACCGCTTGTAAAGCCATCCTATGCGACCCAGCTAACGAAGAACCTGAAGATATAGACAACGGCGCCAAGATGCGTGAGACCAGAAACTGCTTCCACCTCGGTCCTCAGAAACTCCTTTGAAGGATGCCAACAGCAGTGGAGTGGAGTGCGATGCGACCAAAGAGAGACGGTTTCTCGCAAGCCACCGTAGGTAGTCTCTCTTCGAGTCTTCCGGGTCCCGGCAATGCAAGCTAGCGACGTCATGAAACACGGACGTTGATAGTCCCGCTGATACATCACCCGAGCAGCATGCAAGTCTCAGTGTCAACCGATCCTGTCAACTGTGGTTGAAAAGCAATCTGACATTCCAACATAAACTGTCACCATAGATTTTTGAACTGCTCGGTGAGTCATATAAGACCTCGTGATAAGACACCGAGATTTGGAAAGTTTTAGTATGTTTTTGGGGTTTTAGAGTTTCTGGGGTTTAAGGGTTTTAAA